AGAGGGGCAGCTGGGAGTTGCATCTCCAATAGCCTCCGCCAGGTGTGTGTAACACCCTCCTCCTGAACGCATTCTCCTGACTTCACAGTATGGATTTTGTCATCAGACGGAGGCAACTACTAAGAAAACAGTTATCTGAGGTGCCATAGCAGGTATAGCTTCCAAAAATGTCTCAAAAAATCAAATGAGCCACGTACAAGCTTATACCTGCTTCCCCCACAGGCTCTTTATTGCACGGTGGCTGTATTTCCAGCTCTTCTACAATATGTTGCAGTGACGCACAACTCAGGTGACATGTGACCCTCTACCTAGCAGCTTTGCTGAAGCACTAGGCTGGGCATGATCAAACATGCAATTTTTCAGCCACTGCTGATGATTTATCACTTGAAATGAGATTGTTCTTGTGCACCCTTATGAAGCACAGAGGGAGTGACCTTCCAGAACAGGAAAGAAAAGATCCATTAGCACTGAGGCATCATAGAATAGAATCACAGAACGGTTTGGGTTGGAAGGGACCTTTAGAGGCCATCTAGTTCGAACCCCCCCTGCAGTGAGCAGGGACACCTTCCACTAGATCAGATTTCTCAAAGCCCCATCCAGCCTGGCCTTGAATTTTTCCAGGGATGTGCCTTCTACCACCTCTCTGGGCAGCCTGTGCCAGTGGTTCACCACCCTCATTGTAAAAAATTTCTTTCTTATATTTTGCCTAAATCTCCCCTCTTTCAGTTTGAAACCGTTGCCCTTCGCCCTACCACTACCCTTCCTGACAAAGAGTCCCTCCCCACCTTTCCTGTAGGCCCCCTTTAAGTACTGGAAGGCCGCTATAAGGTCTCCCCAGAGCCTTCTCTTCTCCAGGCTGAACAACCCCAACTCTCTCAGCCTGTCCTCACAGGGGAGGTGCTCCAGCCCCCTATCATCTTCGAGGCCCTCCTCTGGACCCGCTCCAACAGGTCCATGTCTTCCCTGTGCTGGGGGCCCCAGAGCTGAACGCAGTGGATTGGCATAATCTGTACCTTCTCTGTGTCTCTCCGCTGCTTTTGCCCAGTTTGTCCTGGCATCTCCAGCCCTGGGCCATCCCTACTGCGGTTACCAGCACCCCAACCCTGCTGCAACTCTGACAGGGTTCATGGACTTCAGCTCTGCAGCTCCTGCTTCCAGGTGGCACCACAGTGTAAACATTTACTTTGTGTAAAACCGCTCCAATCAGACACACGGCCTGTTGTTTCACAAGATACAGCCGCTGCTTTAACCCCCGCGGGTGAGACAGAAGGTGTGTGTGTGCTCTGCCAGCAGCGGGGGCAAAGTCCTCGGGGCACTAGAAGTTGTTAAAGCACGGCAGGCAGCTGATACAGTGCTGGGCATGTGCTCCACATCTCATAGTTCTGATTTTCTGTTGAAACTAAAGGCTTTTAAACACCATGGTAATGCTCTGTGTTAGGAAGAGTGACCAGTGGTGGTGGTGCTACTGCGGTCAAACAGAAACACAGCTGTATTTTCAACAGAAAGATTCTCCTTTTTTTAAATCACAGCAGCCATCATAAATCTGAGCAGGGTGAGGCAGCAGATGAGTGTGCACCAACTCTAGCCAAGACGCACGGTTCAGAAGCATCCTTGCTGCCCGGGCTGGCGGTGGGGCTGGTGTGGGCAGTGAAGCCTCTGCACAGCTTCATGTTTCCAGGGACTTTACCAGTTCCCCGGCCCTGCCGGCAGATACACGAAGTTTGCTGCTGTTGTGTCAGAGCCGAAGAGCAGAAGCATCTGAAAGCCTTTTTCTTTTCCCAACTGTATCAGCCGAGACATGGTACCTGGAGTGGCAATCTTTGCTGTGCAGAAGGGGGAAAAAGGGTTTGGGGAGATTTGTTACAAGCAGAGGAAACATCCTCCTTTCTCTTCTCATTTTCTTATCCTTTGTATTTTCTGAAACAGCAGCAAACTTTTCTTTAGCAAGATCTAGAGCATACCGTGTTTTGTACCTACCGCAAGACAGAGAGCTGTAACACTGTGCAATTAAATGTTCCAAGTAGGAAAATAAATACTGAACTTTGACAGATGCTGCTTATCACAATGCAGCGCTTCAGTGGCTTTTTTAAAAAATGCAAACAGAGCTCATATGTACCCTTTGATCTTGCAAAGAGATTTCACTTTTCTTTTCCTCCTTAGTATGCTTTACACTCACTGATCTAAAGGCAACGAGTAATTTTCTTTTAACAGTGCTGCTCAAAATTTGGTAATTAATGACACTGGTCACAAGGCCTCCCATTTTGCATAGCTGGTGTATATTTTGCTAAAATACAGGCATGTTTATCGTGTACCATGACTAGGAGCCTGATGTGATTATGTAAAACCTTTCTTCTAAACTGACTTGTGGTCCTTTGCAGATCATAGAAGCCTTGTTTCTCAAGGAACATACCAAAGAGGTTTGGGTGCCCTTTGAAATTATAGGGGACAGAAGAAACAGGATTTTTGTCAGCTTCATGGGCAATAGGGGGTTACAGAAAATGATCATAAATTTTAGTGTCAGTTTGGGTTTTTAGAAAGCTAAATGTTAGAAACAGCAAAATAAGCAGAAGGTAAAACATCATCTTTTTCCCCACATAATGTTTTCTTGTGTTGCTGTTAGTAGGAGTTTGTTGGTATGTATATAGCAAATGTGACAGTAATTCGGAGTTCTTAGCATATTTTGTGCCATGTTTTTCCTGCTTTGAAGCCTAAGTTTTATCTACTGTAATTACCAGTGATATGAGGATAGTACCTGAGTTTACAGATAGTCATACACTATTTAGATTGCTTACGGGTTAATCCCAAAGCTCACATGCGAGTGTGCGTGTATGTGTTAAAAATTCAGTAAGGTATGTGCTAAGAAAAGAATTTTTTAATTTGCACTGGTTGAGAAAATTTTTAAAAGAAACACCGAGCAAGAAAAAAATAATTTTGAGATCTTCTATTAATGTGTATGATTTTACGTACCTATCAGTAGCTAAAGGGGCACCATGTGTTTTAGGAAAGTCAATTTTATAGAGAAGAGATTGTGACTTAGATGGGTAAAGCCCTGGGAAAGGTGAGGTGCTGAGTTATAGTGAGAGCTGCATCTATCAGTTTATCAGCACAAGAGGAATCAGATAAGTGTTAGGTGCTCCCAAGCTTTTCATGATAAGAATTCTTTGCCTGGGAACAAACTTAAAGCAAAAGCGATTTGACTGTTTGCTAAGTTTGCAACATGATTTTTGTTAGATCTGTTTGCTCAGCAGTAATTGTGTGAGTAAAACAGCTCTTTGGAGCTAGAAGATAATGACGACGTGTAGGTGCTAAGTGGTACGTAGCAGTGGCTGGAGCCCAGGCCTGGCCAGTCCGTCAGCGGGAGTCTCTGCTCTCTGGGGCGGCTGCTACCGCAAAATAATCTTAGTTAATCAGCAGATGGCAGAAGTTACAGTGGAGGCGGAACAAAGTCAGAAGCTGACCTTTATTCAGCTAAATGCAACGTGCAATCCTAGTGAAGAATTGCTGCCAGCAGGGAGATTAGGGCGAAATTAGTAAGTAAATGGTTAGGGCAGAGCTAGAGATGACAGAATTAAGCCTTTTCTGTCTGTGTGTCTGGTTTTTTGCTGATAACCTGGAGGCACCTTTTCCCTTGCTGTTGCTCCATTAGATAAGATATTGAGAAATAGCTGTTTTGCAGATTATGGGGGTGGAAGAGAAGCATTTTATCAGGGAAGCTGAAATGAGTCCCAGGGACTGGAGACCATGTGTGGCGTGAGATAGCAGGGCAGCAGAATGCAAGTCTCAGAGCCACAAGGTTTCTTGATCAGCCTTACTTCCAGAGTTTTAATGAAAAATCCAGAGACACTTTGGGCCTTAGGGAGACAGAGAGCAGTGAGATGATGCCGTGGGCTCTCCCTGACTTCTTGCAGAGACTCCCTCCTGCTCCAACACTCCCTTGATTGTACAAAAGAGACAATTCTGTCTGTGGACACAAATAAGTCTGGACAAAAGCACACAAATGGGAACCCAATTCTGCATGAAGATTTTTTTTTAATGCTCTCTAATGACTGGCAGAGGGATGCTTCATATTTAAACCACCGCATAAGCCAGCACTTCCACCTTGTAGAGCCAGTCACTGTCTGCAAGGCGGCTGGTCAGCTTACAGCAGGACACGCGTCCACCCTCCATGGGCACCCCGGGGCTGAATGAGCGTTGCTGGGGGACACATCAGTATGAAGAGAAGGGGGATTGTCCTGTGCCACTGACCACAGGGGAGCGGTTTAATAGGTCTGTTGCATTTGGGGCTGCAAATCTAGGCAATTCAGGTTTGTTTATAAAACATGTTTAAACTGAAAATAAATAAAAATTGCTCAACTCTGAGAGGGGGATTAAGTAAAACAGGGACAAGTGAAAAGCAGAAAGAACCATAAAATTGGAACAAATAATAAGAAATATTGACTAATCACTCAGATATTTGTTTGCAAGTTAAAAAAAAAAGTTCTGTGTGCTTTGTAGCCAAAAAAAAAAAAAGAACAAAACAAACCGGAGGTAATATAGACGGTCTTTACTAAACAACGAATCATTCCTCCTGCTTATCTTCAAAAATATTTCTGTGGCAAAACTCCTCTGGTCAAATTGTCTTTTGAGACCAACTTCCATGGGATTAGCAGGTTTGAGTTTTTTGGTTTTTTTTTTTTGTATTTACAATTGCACCTTCTCCGATAACTCAGGAAGAAAAATGTATTTATTAATATGATTAAAGACTCGTATGTTGGTAGTCCAGTGTAGATTTCTCTGCTGAATTAAAGAAATCAAGGCCATGCCTTTAAGTTCCATTCCTTTCCTCTTGTACGTCCATCTACTGATGACGTTACTTTCAGATCCTTTAAGCTGGAATTTTTCAAACGAAGCACTGTGTGTATTTGCAGAGCATTCATATGGCTCTTGATGCAGTGGTCTCTGTTAAAGGCATGCGTTAGCATATACTGATCCTTCTTTCATCTTTTTTTTTTTTTTTTCAGACGACTGAAACGTGACAATCCCAGTGCCGTAGTTCTTAGTACTGATGACTTCTTTATCGAAAATGGGGTGTACATATTTGATCCTGACTTCCTAGAGGACGCACACAAATGGAACCAAAAGAGAGGTGACTGAACTCGACCCAGGGGCTTTGCAGAATAGCTTTGCTTTTCAGTCCATCTTTAAACTTAGACCCCCCCCCCAAAATGAAGGATCTCAAAGTGCTGTCACAAGTGCAGCTCATGGGGTTCTGGTTAAAAAAATACGTTTACCACTTCTGACTTTTATTTCTTCTGACTTGTAAGAGAGAAATTTATAAATGAAAAAATGTTGGTGATTGATAGATGTTATTTTAGAAAGTGAAATGGTGACTGTTAGGTAGCTGAAGCTTGGTGGGGGCAGGTGGCATGCAAATACCAGCCCAGCAGCTGCTCAGTACAGCTGCATGCACCGCGTCTTTCAGACTGTAACTTCTTAGATGGAAGTGGGTGTTATAGGGCGCGGGTTAGTGATGGCCAGGAGGAACACTTGCAAACCTAATTAGAAGTTTGAGAATGAAACAATCCATGTCTCTTGCTTCAGAGAGAAAAATGTAACATGCTTTTGTGGCTGTGCTCTGAACTCATTTCTAGCAATGGAAAGCACTTTGAGATCACATTAACGGGGATCTTTTGCAAGTAACAGTCATGCTTACCTGTTGTAAGTACCTAGTGTTGTGATACCGCTAAGTGTGTTCTATGGGAGCTTCAGATCTTCCTACTGAGCACAGCCAGCGGCTGCATCACCTCCCCCAGGAGAGCACCTGCTGGGCACTGACCTCTGCTCGCCTTTGGGTGGTAGCTACAAACCTGTGTCTGGTGGGGAACCAAGCGTGCCTGCTCTGGGCAAAGAGAGGATGCTTTGGGGCTAGTGAGACCCGGCTCGGGCTGTTACTTAATACATTTTTAGCTTTACTAAATGTGTTACATTACAGCACGCAAAGCAATGAAGAATGGGAAAACCCCGGTTATTATTGATAATACCAACATCCATGCTTGGGAAATGAAGCCGTATGTGATGATGGTAGGGGAAGCTCTGATTTATTGCTTTTATACACTCAGCTGTGACATTTATGAGGTCATCTGACTGAAACTGTTCTTAACATGGCTAAAACGAATTACGTCCATTTTCCCTTAGTTCTCTAACTATAGTTAAGGATTGATATTGTGACGAAATAGGGGAAGAGGTGCCAGTCTGGCTGTTTTATCTAGGCAGCTATATAACTCAGCGAAGGCAAAATTACTTGAAAAGATTAACAGTCTTTGAACTTGCCCTGTTACTTCTTGGCGGTCATCCCCTTCCCCAGTAGTGACATGAATTTAACAGTTCCCAAACTGCTTGTTGACAAATATATCAAGATATGACTTACAATATTAGTTCATGACTTGTGAAAAATGCACCATAAAGAGCCTTTGAAGATGCACTGGTACCTGTTGTCAGGAGTTCTAGCAGAGATGGCAATATTTTTAGTACAGTTTCATAATGTGGCCTGTTAACGTTATGCTCGTGCTTCTGTCCTTGGGTTGTGGTCTTGTCTGGATCTCACTTTTGCTTGTATGGGAGCACAAAAGAGGCAAGAACTAATATTGGTGCTGGAAAGCCTGGACGTGCTGCTCCAGCAGTAGTTGTGAATGCTTGTGGGTGACTAGGAAGCACATGCAGCCGGAGGTGGGCAAGACGTAAAAAAGTCAACAGATTTCCCTGCCTCCTTTCCCCCAAATCAAAGCCCAAAAGCAATCAATAATTAAATACATATACACACATGCACAGACACCTGTGCATGTATATATA